ACTGCATAGGATGTTTAGAAATTCCAGAGCAGGCAAAGGTACCAAAATTAGAAAATGTATGTGAACTAGAAAGGAAAGGAGGTCTCAGGATTTGGAATTCAGCAGGCTGGCCTCCTGTGGCTCTCGTCTGTCTGCAGTTGAATGGATCACAAGTGTGGCTGGGCCTGCGGGTGGCATCCTGCAGCTGGCATTTGCTTTAGAGTATTTCTTAGGTTCTTTACAACATCAGACTTCTGATCAGGTCACTTTGGCAAGAAAGTGTATTTGGGTTGTGTTTCTGTCAGTGAAAGAGGCAATCATCGTTTACAAAATTTGGAAGTGTGTAATTAGAAAATGGATTCTTCTTGAGTCAAGATATAACAGCAACTCTTTCTTTAAAAAAAAAAACAGAAACTATTAAACTACTTGATGGTAAGTCATAAGCATCCAGCCCACTAGCAATTGTCATTAACAACCCTGGTGTGGGTAGATAGAGATAGGAACTAGTAAGACTGACTGGTTTTCTTTTTCCATTATATATTTTGCTCATGGTTTGGACTTCAATTTGTAGATAATTTTGACAGCTGATTATCTTCTGCAAGTTCATTTTTCAAAATTCCTTGTAAAAAAACAATCTTAGGTTTTTGGAAAATGTAAACTCAGTTCCACCTGAAAACAATTTTAGCTCTTTTGTTTCCTTCTTTGTGTTAGAGAATTAGAAAAGAGTCTAAATAAGACTGAAACTTATTTTGACTTCAAAAACATAAGGGGCCTTCAACAAGTTCATGGAAAAATAAAAACATGAGTTTATTTTGGTGTGAAATTTGGAACACATGTATAGTTTTTTAATAGTATACATTTTTGATGAATTTTTGGAAGATCGCATATAATTAGAGATAAAAGACAAGAAATCACAAAACAACTCATAAAGGGGAGTTTACATGTCTAAACATGGCAAAGCATGGCAGTGCTGGAGATAGGAGAGAGCTGAAGGACAGGACCTTCAGCTGGTGGCCCCACGGTGCATGTTTCTCAAATCATGAGTGTCGATCCCTTAGTGGATTATGACTGCCATTTAGAAAAATGTAGTAGAAATTAGTGAAGTGCATTGTATATTGAAAGGTTATGTATTATTTCACGGACTTTTCTTTCAACTACAGACAAATGCACAAAAGAGTATGTGATCAATTTCACTGTAAAATATATTTCTTTTCATAGAGTCAAAGAACTTTCAAAAATGCTCCATTAGCAAAAGTAAGCCACAACCTAAATCTTTAATACTATTATTTATTAACTGCCTAAAAATTAGCCACCCATTAATAAAAAAATTATAGTTACAACTTCTAATGCCTGAAATAGCTAGACTTATAACAAAGATAGATAACACTTACTGAACACAGTTAATATGTGGGCATTGCATGCATAATCTAATCTACATTCTTATGAGGAGACCATTATTATTCCTTTTTCTGAAAGATAACCCTGAGGTTTCCAGAGGTGACTCAGCTAGTAAAACTCAACCCCATGTCTGTCTGACTCCAGAGAAAAAGCATTTCACAATTCTCCTCCAATATTTTTCAAGAATGCATTCCTCATGGAAAACTCTGTGATTTGTAAAGCTTCCATTGCTGTCCAATTATTATGACATGTTCCTAGGTTAGATCTAGACTAATTGAACCTCCTGTGGCCACCAGAGCAGGTTGATAAGGGGGGTTTCTGCAGCTCTGCTGTGTGGAGTGTGGTGATGTTACAGGAAGTTTATTCCTAATCTGATTCTAAAGAACCCGTTCCCTCCTCCTCTTATAGACTCTGGTCTCACAGGACCAAAGTCTGAGATTCTGAGACCGTGAGATAAACCCTCCTGCCCCACCGGAATAGTGAGGATTCTCCTCATTCCTCTCTTGTGCCAAGATTGAAGTTTCCTCATTCTACTGTGAACAAACAAGCAACAGTAAAACATACAAACAGGAATCCCACCTTTGGGAGTCTCTTGAACAAAGTGAATTTTTCTACATCAGGTATCAGAAACTTTCTCTACAGAAGTCCAGTTAGTAAATATTTTAGGCTTTTTGAACCAAATGGTTTCTGTCACTACTGTTCAACAGCACTCTCACAGTGTGAGAGACAGCTAAGGTAAAAACCCTCATCCAGTTCTTCTTTGTAATTTTCAGGAATATCTTCAGCTACTGTATTGTAGGATTGCACTGGGTTTGTGTTTTATTTTGTGGATGTATAAAGAAGAAAGTTTACATCCTACAAAGATAGCTCTCCGCACCAGGAGAGAGCCCCTTCTTGTTTTATTCTCTCTCTCTCTCTCTCTCTCTCTTGAACTATATATATTTATGGAAAATTTTTCTTATATAGATATATAACTTATGATAAAACATATCAAAAATCTTAACAGTTACCAGCATTGTGGGAAACTGGGTTAAGCTGCAGGTTGAGATGCTGGCATCCCATTTCAGAACGCTTGTTGAAATCCCAGCTGTTCCTTTCCCCATCCAGCTCCATGCTAATATGTCTGGGAAAGCAGAGGATGATTGCTTAAGTACTTGGATCACTATCAACCACATGGGAGACCTGGATGGAGTTCTGGGCTCCTTGCTTCAGACTGACACAGCCCTGGCTGGAATGAAACAGTAGATGGAAGACTTTCTGTCTTCCCTTCCTTCCTTTCTTTCCTCCCTCCCTCCCTCTCCCCCTCCCTCCCTCCCTTCCTCTCTCCCTTCCTCCTTTCCATTATCTTTCTCTCCCTCCCCCCTACTCAGCATTTCAAATTAATTAATTAATTTTTGAAAAGGATTTTGCTTAAAAATGTCTTAACAGGTAATTCTTCATGGTACAATTACATTCTAGAGAGCTGTGGTCCACAATCTTCCCATACTCCATTTTTCCTAAGGGACAGATTCTTACAGACACTGGGAAAACATGAAGATAACATTGCATTTCCTTTCTGAAATTCTCAAGAGAAAAGACATCTAATGGGAGTAGGAGAAGTGCTGGGGTGATGAGCTACTTTTTCACATTATATGTTCAGAGAGAATAGAGAGGACAAATGTATTTTCAAAACAAGCACTCTTTTTTTTTAATTTTTTTTTTTTAATTTTTTTGACAGGCAGAGTGGACAGTGAGAGAGACAGACAGAGAGAAAGGTCTTCCTTTGCCGTTGGTTCACCCTCCAATGGCCGCCGCGGCTGGCGTGCTGCGGCCTGCGCACCGCACTGATCTGATGGCAGGAGCCAGGTACTTCTCCTGGTCTCCCATGGGGTGCAGGGCCCAAGGACTTGGGCCATCCTCCACTGCACTCCCTGGCCACAGCAGAGAGCTGGCCTGGAAGAGGGGCAACCGGGACAGAATCCGGCGCCCCGACCGGGACTAGAACTCGGTGTGCTGGCACCGCAAGGCAGAGGATTAGCCTGGTGAGCACTCTTAAAATACCAAAAACAAAGGTTTACCTTCCCTGGCCTATGATGATTTTAGTCTAATGCTCTAAACTTCAAATTAGCAGTTTCTAGGTTTGTTTCAGATTTTTTTTAAGGACTGGTGAAGATTTTAAATGAGGAAAAATGAAGAGAGACCCAGAGGATGGCTAGAGGCCCTGGGCTGCTTTGTGCAGTTCAACCAACATTTAATAAGCACTTACTTGAGGCCAGCATTATTCAGGGGAAGGGAATAGCAGCAGCCCAGCAGCAAGGCAGAGTCCCTATGGTTTGGGAGCAGAGGCTCACATCCACAGCTGCACGAGAGAATCGCCTGGGGACCTACTCAAAATTCAGGATGCCAGAGCCCAGACCAGATTACCAGCTCAGAATCTCAAAGAGAGGCTGAGAGTCCAGATTCCAAAGCATCAGACTAGGTGATGCTAACATACAGCCAAGATAGAGCACAGTCTAAATAAAGGTCCAGGTAGGGAGGTGGGTCATTGCAGTTCCACCACACGCTGTGTGCTATGAGAGGATGTGTGAGTCCCTGTGGATCACGGCCAGGGAGGAAAAGGTCAGTTTTGTCTTGAAATGGGATGTTCTGTGAACAAGTCAAAGAGGAAGGAACGCTTGAACTAAATCGCAAAGGGCAAGTGGGAGTTGACCAAGTCAAACAAAGAGGGATGAGGTAGGGTTCATTCCAGGCGAAGAACTCAGTCAGAGCCAAGACATGGAAGTGTGAGAAATCCGGGTGTATGCTGGAGCTGCACAGGGAGGGACAGGCAGTGTTTTAGTCTGCAGCTCGGGCTGTGAAAACACACCACCAGCAGGGGGCAGACATGGCAGAAAGGTATTGGCTCACAGTTCTGGAGGCTGGAAGTCCCGAGCAAGGGATCAGCAAGGTTGTGAGTTATGAGGGAGAATCTGTTCTGCACTTCTGCTGGGTCTCTGGCGATCCGTGATCTTCCTTTATTTGTAGACCCTTCCCCCTCATCTCTGCCTTCATATTCTCATGGTCTTGTCCCTGTGTATACACATCTGCTCCAAATCTCCCCTTTTTATGAGGACCATCATAATTACGCTAAAGGCCATACAACTCCAAAATTACATCTGCAATAGCCTCATTTCCAAATAGGGTCATGCTCTCAGCACAGGGGTTAGGACTTCAACATACATATTTAGGAGGAACACAATTCAATTCCTAGCAGGCCGAATGGCCAGGAATGAAGCTTGGATACCATCCAGAACCTACAGACTCTGGGAAATAATTTGAAATCTGTCCTGAGAACCAGGAAGAGTAACAAGAGAAATCTAACAGTTAACAGTTATGTATGCCAGGTATCTTTCTAGCTGAATTTTATGAGCATTAAACCCTTTAACACTCATAAGAAAAATACTATTTTGATCTCCAACTTACAGATTAGAAAATTGGGGCCAACAGAGGTTAAGTGGTTTGTCCAAAATCATATTTTAAGCCAACGATGAGACCAGAATTTACCTACAAGCAGAATCTAGCTCCAAAGCCTGCACCCCTGTGTTGTCGTTATTGTTAACTCTGTGCCATGAACACTTCTAAGTTTCATTTCTTCCCTTCTGCAGGTGACTTCCTCTCTGGGTCTCCAGCCTGCACTCCCCTCTCAGGTTCAGGTCTGCAATTTGAATGATCTGTTGATATTTCCATTGGGATGTCCTTCGTCATCTTGCACTTGCCTAAGGTGAAACTGAACTCACTCTCTCCCTTGAATGAGGGGCTTCTCCATTTGTTTAAAAGCATGACTCTTCCTGGTTAATCCTTCTGTGTCCTGTCAGGGCCAGGGACTAATTTTGGAGGCCAAAGATACACAGTATGCTGGCTCCTTCTCCTGGGCCAGCGTGGGGGCTATGACCACCTGAGGCACAGGCTTTCTCAAAGACTCCTGTGTCAGATTGGTAGATGCCAGTATGCCAGGGCTAGCAGGTGTGTTGTCTTTGGGCGATGGAAGTCTGGCTGCCATGGAAAACAACAACCATTTAGCTTTTCCTGAAATAGAATTCAGGATCCTGCTGGGCCTCTGGAGGCAGTGGGGATCCTCATAGGGACAGGACTACCCTGAGGATTCTCTGGGAGGTTACAATAAAAGTTGGTGTTCCATTGCTCCTTTTTTTTTTTTTTCCCCACAGTGGGTATCATCTAAAGCATTTGTTTTACAATTTAAGGCCATTCAGCTAGGAAGTCCCCTGAATGGTGCGTGGAACGAGTTCTGGATTCAGAGGTAAGAGACTCAAATCCTAATCCTACTTGTTTCGGAACATGCACCAAGTCCTTTTAGATGCTGAGAATAAACAAACCTCATTTCTGCTTCTTCATCTACAGATTGAAAGAAGTAGTTTCTTTCTTTCTTTGGTCATGTAATCTCTAACGCTCCTTGAAGCTCAAAATTCCTTATTTCTTATGTTCCAATTGGAGCACAGACTAAGGATATTCAAGGCCAGCTATATCTGAAATAGGAAGATCATTCTTTTTAAGATTTATTTATTTATTTGAAAGTCAGTTACACAGAGAGAAGGAGAGGCAGAGAGAGAGAAAGGTCTTCCATCTGCTGTTCACTCCCCAGTTGGCTGCAACAGCCGGAGCTGTGCCGATCCGAAGCCAGGAGCCCGGAGCTTCCTCTGGGTCTCCCACGTGGGCGCAGGGGGCCCAAGGACTTGGGCCATCTTCCACTGCTTTCCCAGCCATATCAAAGAGCTGAATCAGAATTGGAGCAGCCGGAACTCGAACTGGTGCCCATATGGGATGCCAGCACAGCAGCCAGTGCTACACCACAGCGCTGGCCCCGGAAGATCATTCTTTTTTATTTTTAAAAATTTTTAGGGGCATGTCAAGTCCTTTATTTTCCATCATGTGAAAACAGGGGACCTAGGGGAAGGAGAGAAGGAGAAGAGTGCAGGCTGCTACCGAGGTTTTCTGAGTCGGAATGAGAGAACTAGTATATTTAGTAAAATTTAGTAAGATAGAAAGTGAGTTGGTTGTTTTCATGCTTTTTATTTCTTCTTCCTCCTCTTCCTCTTCTTCTTCCTCATCTTCTTCTCCTTCTTGCCATGAAGCCGGTTTTCTTCCCTGCAGTCTCCTGTCACCTAATATTTACTCAAAGAATTATAATCAACAAAAATTGCTAACTGCAACCAGTTTTGACTAGATTGACTTCTCAGCAATTGAAGCAGTTTATGGATATATTTGCCCTTTTTCCACCATTGTGGCACCACAAACTTCTTGTGTGCAATAGGACCTGATTGCCAATTGGTGCAGGTAACAAACTTTTTTCCTGGCAATGGAGATTTTTCTGTTGTGGCATTAAAGGAAGGCATTGTTGGTTTTATTGTTATCTTTGAATGAAAATGGTTTGAATCATTTGTTTGATGACTCCTTCTCTAGAAATGGGTGGAGTGATGACTCAGGGAAGAGAGGGCCTTGTAAAGTGAGGGCTCCTGTTAGCTTTGAGAGGGCGTTTTTTTGCTCAATAGCAATTATATGCTTGACTAAGTCTAGGGCAGCCAAGGTCAGTCGTTCCAGGTTTCACTGCTTGCATTTTAATTCTTGAGATATTAATATAAAATCAGAGAATAATAGTTTTGTAAAGGGAATTGCATTATTGACAAGTGAACGTAAATGACCAAGAACATCTAAGAATTCTTGTAAATAAGATAAGTTTTACATCAGAGGTGGGGAATGTCTGGCACGATCATTTGATCTGGCCCTGCCAAGGCAACCGCAGGTGGGACTCAAATTCAGTAAGTATATAGGAGACTAATTTTTTTCAAAGATTTATTTATTTATTTGAAAGTAAGAGTTACACAGAGAGAGGAGAGGCAGAGAGAGAGAGAGAGAGAAACAGAAAGAGAGAGATGTCTTTCATCTGCTGGTTCACTCCCCAGTAGGCCGCAATGGCCAGAGCTGCAATGATGCAAAGCCAGGAGCCAGGAGCTTCTGCAGGGTCTCCCACATGGGCGCAGGAGCCCAAGGACTTGGGCCATCTTCTTCTTCTTCTTCTTTTTTTTTTTTTTTTTTTTTTTTTTTTTTTGACAGGCAGAGTGGACAGTGAGAGAGACAGAGAGGAAGATCTTCCTTTTCCGTTGGTTCACCCATCAATGGCCGCTGCGGCTGGTGCGCTGTGGCTGGTGCACCATGCTGATCCGAAACCAGGAACCAGGTGCTTCTCCTGGTCTCCCTTGGGGTGCAGGGCCCAAGCACTTGGGCCATCCTCCACTGCACTCCCAGGCCACAGCAGAGAGCTGGACTGGAAGAGGAGTAACCGGGACAGAATCTGGCGTTGTGCTATCTTCTGCATTCCCAGGCCATACCAGAGAGCTGGATCGGAAGTGGAGCAGCCAGGACTCGAACCGGCACCCATATAGGATGCCAGCGCTTCAGGTCAGGGCATTAACCCGCTGTGCCACAGCGCCAGCCCCAGGAGACTAATTTTTAAGTTGATCATTTTGTATGGCCCAGGAATGATGGTATAAATATCCAGTGACCACTGGCAGAGAAATGGTTTTTTGCCCTTGTTGGGTCTAATCTTAATCCAAAACACTTCTTCATATGTAAATAAATGCATTTGGTATCTTAAAGATGGCAACTGGTCATTCTCTTAAGCTCTGGTTTTCTTCCTGACATTTCACATTTCCTCACTGTAGAGTGCACAGGAGTATCTCAGATGCTGCTAAGAGGCTGGTACTGTGATAAGCAAGTCAGGGTGTCTTAGAGTGAAAGTACTTCCAACATGAGGACTCACACTATATTTTAAAACTCTGCATTCCGTTTCTCCTATTTCCCCATTGCTTGTGTGAACGGTAGGCAGTTCTCCTTCTCTACAACACTTCAAAAAGAATATGGCTTTGAAAGAGATCAGGCCTCATTGTCAACCTCTGGACAGCATACCTCAAGCATGTGTGAAGTGGGAAGAGAAGCAAGAGGGAGCACTATTTCTGAATCCTGAGTGAGAAGGAAATTTGAGAACAGAGTGTCTAGCCCCTGTCCTTAGGCAAGAGTGCATCTAAATTTAGTAAGTCATGCTCACCTGAAAGATGTGTGGCCTGGTGAGTCTGCAGCTTCCTCAGAAGTTGTTTTCTTTATCAATCTGATCTCTCCTTTTCTCTAATCTGGCTACATTTTTTTCCGAAAATTCTCAACTATTTGGGAAATAAGATCTAATCACTTCTTAGTCTTATTTCCTAAGTAAATAGCAGTTTTTTTTTTTTAAAGTTTGTTTATTTTCATCTATGTGAAAGTCTGAGCAGCAGATGGAGATCTTTCATCTGCTGGTTCACTCTTCAAATGCCCACAACAGCCAGGGCAGGGCCAGACCAAAGCCAGGAGGCAGGGACTCCATCCTGGTCTCCCACTTGTGGGGCAGGGGCCCACACACTTGAACCATATCCACTGCTACCTCAGATGCATTAGCAGGGAATGGGACTGCAAGCAGAGTAGATGGGTCTTGCCCATATGGGATGCCAGTATCCCAAGTGGCAGCTTAATTCTCTGTGCAGCAATGCTTGCCTCTAGTCCAAACTTATTTTTTAAAAAGTTTTTAAAATTTATTTGAAATTCAGAGTCACAGAGAGGAAGAGGAGGAGGAGAAGGAAGTGGAGAAGGAGGAAGTAGAGGAGGAGAAGGAAGTGGAGAAAGAGGAGGAGGAGGAGAGAGAGGGAGACAGATCCTACATCTGTTGGTTCACTACCCAAATGGCCACAATGGCTGGGGTTGCACCAGGCCAAAGCCAGGAGCCCAGAGCCTCCTCTCCTGGTCTCCCACACGGGTGCAGAGGCCCAAGCACTTAGCCCGTCTTATGATGCTTTCCTGGGTGCATTAGCAGGGAGCCAGATTGGAAGTGAAGCAGTTGGGTCTCAACCAGTGCCCACATGGGAAACTGACATTATAGGTAGAAGTTTAACCTACTGTGCCACAGAACCAACCCCAACACAAACTTCTTAACCTTTAAATCTTTTAAAAGCATCTTGTTAATCCTACATGAAGGATCTCTGTGAGTGAGATCCCAGTGGGAAGAAGTGGCCATCAAAGAGGGATGTGCTTTTCTCTGAATGGAGAACTTCCACTTTGCTTTTGGCCTTGTCTAAATACTGACAGAGTTTGTGGTCACAAAAGTCTTCCACAGCATTAGCAGTTCATGGCAAGAGCCTCGGGTGATCACTGCGGTCATAAATAAGAGTGTCAATTGTTAAATTAACAACAAAAGTCACTGTGCATTTACTCCCCATGTAGGACCTCTGTCCTTAATGAATTGTACTATGAGAATTAACTGCAAAACTTGTTTTCAAACAGTACTTTTTACATTGTGTGTGTGTGTGTACAAACTGTTGAAATATTTATTTAGTATAGAGTTGGTCTTCTGTATATAAAGATAATTAAAAATGAATCTTGGCCGGTGCCGTGGCTCACTAGGCTAATCCTCCGCCTTGCAGCACCAGCACACCAGGTTCTAGTCCTGGTCGGGGCGCCGGATTCTGTCCCGGTTGCCCCTCTTCCAGTCCAGCTCTCTGCTGTGGCCAGGGAGTGCCGTGGAGGTGGCCAGGGAGTGCCGTGAAGGATGGCCCAAGTCCTTGGGCCCTGCACCCCACGGGAGACCAAGATAAGTACCTGGCTCCTGCCATCGGATCAGCGCGTTGCGCTGGCTGCAGCACGCCGGCCGCAGCAGCCATTGGAGGGTGAACCAACGGCAAAAGGAAGACCTTTCTCTCTGTCTCTCTCTCTCACTGTCCACTCTGCCTGTCAAATAAATAAATAAATAAAATAAAGAGAATGAATCTTAAAGAAGAATGGGGTGGGAGAGGGAGTAAGAGGTGGGACAGGAGTCGGGGAGGGTAGGTGAGTATGGGAGGAAAAAACCACTATATTCCTAAAGTTGTACCTGTGAAAATTGTATTCATTAAATAAAAGCTTTAATAAAAAAATCCATTCCAAAAAAAGTATACTTTTAGACATCTAATGAATGTCAGCTTATTGGTAATTCCTATAACTTTTTTTTTTCACAACACTTCTCAAATTGGGAGGATTTCTCTCAGCTCACTTTCTGCATAACTCAGAGCAGATCCGTCTGTCTGAAAGCCCTAGGTGACTAGGAAACTTGTATTTGGCAACTTCACCTTTGGGAGAAAACATGCTGATCAAGGTAAGTCATAATCAGCAATGCAGAGAGCAGAAAAGCTACAAGAGCAGACATAATAATCATACTGATGGCCAGTTATGAGAGGAGGAAGC